CCTCCTCCTCCTCCTCCTCCTCCTCCTCCTCCTTCTTCTTCCTGCTCCTGCTTCTCCTCCTCCTCCTCTTCCTCTTCTTCTTCTTCCTCCTCCTCTTCTTCTTCCTCTTCCTCTTCTTCTTCCTCCTTCTCTTCCTCCTGGCCTAGAGATGGAGCTCTCACCTCACAATCAGGAGGCGATCCTAGGTAAAGGCTAATATTTGGAACAGACTCTCCTGCTCAAGCAGGGGGTTAGACTAGATGACCTCCAATGTCCCTTCCAACTCTGTTATTCTATGACAACCCCATGTCTTTAATGTTTCCTCCTCCTCCTCCTCGCCACAATCCCCATTCCCTTCTAGGACTGATGAGGTTACCTAGTTTGGTAACGAAACGTCTCCAAGAAAGCCACCCAGCTCAGAGACCACCAAGGACCCCACAGTTCAACCCTGAGCTATTTATTTATTTATTTATTTTTGTCAATCGCTTGCAAGATAATAGGTATAAGTATATACATAGTTATGAATACATGAAATGACTACATATAAGAAAAATAAAAAGAAACAATAGGACAGGGACGGTAGGCACATCGGTGCGCTTATGCACAGCCCCTACAGACCTCTTAGGAAAGGGGTGAGGTCAATAGTAGACAGTCTAAGGTTAAAGTTTTTGGGGTTTGGGGAAGAAACTACAGAGTCAGGTAGAGTATTCCAGACCTTGACCACTCTGTTGCTGAAGTCGTATTTCCTGCAATCAAGTTTGGTGCGGTTAACCTTGAGTTTGTATCTATTGTGTGCTCTTGTGTTGTTATGGTTGAAGCTGAAGTATTCATTGACAGGTAGGACATTGCAAAGTCCAAAGCTACAAATACGCTCTTCTATCCCTCCCGTATTTTTTAATACGTACTTCATTCTGCCCTAGCGTTCAGGGTGCTCCCTTGAGAGAAAGCCTTCGCCAACGAGGCGAATCTTAAAACCTGACACCGCTGCTTGGCCTCACCTCTCTCTTCCCTGCCTTGCAGTACGACGCGGTCAGAATCAACCAGCTGTACGAACAGGCCCGCTGGTCGGTGCTGCTGGAGGAGACCGACTGCACGGAGGAAGAAATGGTCGTCTTCGCCGCCTTACAAGTAAGGCGGCCCTTGCACCCCCCAAAAAAGTGCCCTTTAACCAGGGGTGGGCTTCAAAAAATTTAGCAAAGGGCTCTGTGCCTGGTTGCTGGGTGGGCGTGGCCTAGTCGGCCTCCTGCACCACTGCAGTGGGGGGGGGTGTTTTTGCTCTCCCCGGACTCCGGAGGCTTTTGGGAATCCAGAACCGCGCAGAATCTTAGCTTAGGGGGCTCTCCCGGACCCTCGCAAGCCCCCAGCAGCCTCCCCCTGCCTTTAACCACCGTTATCCCGTGCCTTAGGGCTGGAAAACCTACAACGGGCCTAAGTATCATCTGTGCTCTGTCTTAGTATCGCATCAACCAGCTCTCCTTGAACGCCACCCCTGTGGAGCAGTCCAGCGAATCTGGCCTGGATGACTTAGACAAAGCTTTGGCTAACTTGGAGGTCAAACTGGAAGGCTCAACCCCAGCTCCGAGTCTTTTGGTAAGGACCGTCTTCTTCACAGGACAGTGCACAAGCTTATATAAAAACACAAAAAATATATGTACATTTTATATAACGTATATATGTAAATATTAACAATACATATAACATGTAAATATATATATATATAAATAAAATATAAATTCTGGGAGTTCAAGTCCCCAGGTCATAAAGGGGCCATAGTTGTCCACTCCTAAGATATAATTGCTGCAACAACCCAGGATTAGTCCATTCCCCATTCTATCATAGCTTATTGGGGGATTCTGAGAGTTGAAGTCCACACTTCTTAAAATTGCTTAAGGTTGCGGAAACACTGTTTTGAGGTAATCCAGAAATACAATAATCCCCTCCTTTTTTTTGTCTGTTTCCCTCTGGCCTCCTCTTTAGGACAGTCTCACAGCCATCCCAGAGCTGAGGGATCACCTCCGAATCTTCAGGTTAGTCCTTTTAAACACACCTGGCTAGTTTCTTTTTAATGCCACCCTGGTTTGCCACAGCAGATCTTTAGAACTCACCAAAAGCAGAGGTTCTCCCAAGCTCGTGTCATTGTGAGGTGTTGGATTAACACACACCCATCGTCCTCACCCAACGTAAGACTGGGAATGTAGACCAACACTCTGAACACTTACAGGGTTGTGGATCAAGCTAGGATAGAGGAAGATGATGGCGGTTTTTCTAAATTTCTGTGGAGATATGTTCACCACTTTTTAGGAATATGGGGTCTTCAGTTGGGGAGCATGAGTATTCACTCATAATATTTGAGTTTTCACACACACAAAGGGATACCCAGGGAAGATGATGGAGAACTTCATCTGGATTTTACCGGGGTTGCCCCAAAGAAGAGGGGGTCAAGCAGTTCTCCAAAGCCTCAGAAGGCAGGACAAGACGCAACGGATGGAAACTAATCAAGGAGAGAAGCAAGCTGGAATGAAGTAGAAATTTCCTGACAGAACAATTGATCAGTGGAATGACTTGCCTTCAAGAGTTGTGGGTGCTCCATCCCTGGAGGTTATGAAGAAGAGATGGGATAACACCAATAGTTTTTATTTATTTATTTATTTTAAATAAAAAAAATAAAAAATAAAAACTATTGGTGTGAGATAGTATAGGATTTCTTGTTTGAGTGGGGAGTTGGATTAGATAAGAAGACATCCTGCCTCCCTTCCAACTCTTGTTATTCTGGGTTGTTTTCAAAGATACTTCCAACTCATGGGGTGCTAGATTAGAAAACCTCTAAAGACCCTTTCAACCCTGTGATTCTATGATTCTGTAAACTATAGACCATAGGAGTTAGGATCTGAAACAATATGTCTATGTTGAAGCTACCTAGAATAGTGTTTCTTAACCTTGGCAACTTTAAGAGAAGTCCACACCTCTTAAAGTTGCCAAGGTTAAGAAACACTAGTAGTTTTGGAATGTCTAATCTCCCAAGATTGTAAAAAAAGTTTGGACATCCACCTCTTGGGGATGGTTAAACTGGTTTTCCTGAGTTGGAATAGATGATCCTTGGAGCTGCCTTCAACCTCACAACAATCTGTGATTCTCCAGCCATTTTGTTTGTCCTCCCAGGCCCCGCAAGCTGACCCTGAAAGGTTATAAGCAGTACTGGGTGACTTTCAAAGAAACCACCATCTCGTATTTCAAGAGCCCAGAAGACGCGTTGGGAGAACCTGTCCAACAGCTCAACCTGAAAGGTGAGACGATCATCCTGCCAAGGAAAAGATGGCGCAGTCCAGTGGCTACTCCCTTCTCGGTGGTCTTGGTTGCGACTGCTAGTTCTTTGGCTGAAAGCAGCGGTGGGATCCTCGCTTAGTCGCTGCCGCCCCTAACGCGCACGCACCTAACAAGCCAATCAACTGAGAGGATGAAGAAATGAAAAGTTAGGCGTGACCCCCACCGCCCAACACCCTCTCATGTAGTCGAGTTGCTTGATCATGATCAACTGAATCATGATGAACTTTATTGGAGTCTAGTCTTGCCTTTATACACATTTTTAGTAATCCTCCAACATTGGTTAACTTTGGTTACTGCTTAACTTTCTTTACTGTTTAGCATAATAGTAATTAACACAATTAATTATCTCTAGTTAAAGTCCAACATACGTTTACTTCCTCTCTCTAATCCTCCTTTAGATTAGTGACTTCGTTTGCCTGAATTGTATTTGCTTGGAAACATTCTTTATCTGAGGTTTGCCATCCAAGATTAGAACATTCCTGCAATTACAACTCTACACGGGGGTTCGGAGGAACCTGGTAGTGATTTTGACTACCGGTTTGTGTGAACCAGCCCGAACCAGTAGCATACCACCACTGGCTGAAACGATCTGGAAAAGAACCTGCTGGTCCTCAGCCAGAGTAGACCCATGTTGACAAGGTGACCATTTCTAAACGAAAGTGCCCAAATATGCTTCTCACTTCCAGCCAGGACGCCAAAGGTTGACAACTATGGAAGAATGAGAGACCCAAGATCACTTGAAACTGTGGGGCCGGTGGAACCACAGGCCACGTTGTGTTCAAGACAGTTTTATTGGGGCCTGAAGCGTTCTACCCTCTCTCTCTCTCTCTCTTTCCCCCAGGCTGCGAAGTGGTGCCAGATGTCAACATCTCTGGCCAGAAATTCTGCATCAAGTTGCTGGTCCCTTCTCCTGATGGAATGAGCGAAGTACACCTGAGATGTGCGGATGTGAGTTGAGACGAAGACGGGAGGAAAGGAAGGAACCCGAGTTTGGGATGAGAGTTGGGCAGAACTCTGGATGCTAGGCCCAACCATGATTCCATGTTGGACCTAAAAACATATCACTATAAAGGATCTCACACGCTGGAGCTTCGGGACTTCAAATATGGAAGAACCGCCACGGTGTGGAAACCACCCAGCTGGAGGGCTTGTATTATAAAGCCGTAGGAATGGTTGAAGCCTCTTTCTCTCCTTTGTTCTTAACCAGGAGCATCAATACGCCAGTTGGATGGCCGGCTGCCGTTTGGCAGCGAAAGGGAAGACTATGGCGGACGCGTCCTACCAAGCCGAAAAGGAGAACATTCTCTCCTTCCTGAAGTTGCAGAAGACCAACCCAGAAATGTCCCTCACGGCAGAGACGGAGGGGACCCAATGGCTGGTGTCTCCCCGCTACCAGAAGAAGTTCAAACCTAAGCAGGTATTGTCCTTCCTCCTGGCAGCCGTTGTAATTTCCCACAATGCCCGAGAAGGAGACGGCCTTAGGATCATGGGAAATGAACAGGGTTGTTGGATCCAACTGGATCTGGTTGCTCGGAGTGGTGAATAGAATTTAAGAGAAATCTGGGGGGAAAGTCGAAGTCATCCTTATAGTGACCATTGCCACTTCTTCCTCTTCCGTCTCGCTTTATATCCCACTAGCTCGATACCCGTGTGCTTCACTATGAAACGATGTGGTCGGGCTTAGTTTTTGGGGAGGAAAATAAGGTGTGGGGGGGAATTGTGCCTCTGCCTACCAGCATCCATCAGTATTCGTCTGGCTAGCGTCCTGTCAGTGTGTGAGAGAGTTAAGGGCTGTTTGGAAACTGAAACAATATTTGCTGTGTGAGCAAGGAGACGACAACAAGGAGCCTGGGCGTGGCTTAGCTCAACTGTTCTGTACTAAAGCTGCTTGGTTGCTGTGAAACTGAAACTGAAACTCCTCTGCTTGTGTTTCGCATTTGCATTTCTTTCCAGGTGGGGAGGGGGAGTAGAACTCCTTAGCACCAGAGCATGTTAATAATAATAATAATATAGGAAATACTAATGCTCTCATGGTCACTTGGAAAAATCCTTTCTTAGTGAGCACCTAGAAGCCAAGAGGAACTTACGTACCAGATTTCAAGTTTGTAGGCTTTACAGTTCAGGAGATTTTTGTGATGATGCACGAGTGGTATTTCGCTTTTATATATATATAAATTAATCAATGATATCAGATAAGTCAGAACGTGGCCAACTGTCCATTGGAGGCTTGCAATAGCAATGGAAATTCTGGTCACAAGTTGAGGGCTGCCAGCAAAGTAATAGAGACCACACAATACATTTCCATATAAGTGTATATTTTTTCCTCTTCTTTATTCGAGTGCATTTTTTTTCCTGTTGTTCTGGAAGATTCCATATCGTGCAGGTGGGCTTCCCTTTGATCGTTCTTTGTTTGCAAATGTTTGCAGTTAACCCCCCGCATCCTTGAGGCCTACCAGAACGTCTCTCAGCACTCCCTGGCTGAAGCCAAGATGAGATTCATCCAGGCCTGGCAATCCCTCCCCGATTTCGGCATCTCGTACTTCGTGGTCAAGTAAGGGCCCATTTTTTCCCCCTGCATTCTATTCCTGAGAAGGTGGGTGGGCTTCCTGGAGGGGTGTCAGAGTTTGGGGTAGGAATGGGGCGACAGGCCATCAGCCGAGGGAATGTGAGGTGTGTGTTGTGTTCCCTGATACTTCAAGGGCAACAACAAAGGCCAGGGGCCAAGAAACCTGGGAGGAAAACAGTTCAAATCAATGTACGCACTGACAAATGAAGGTTGGGGATTTTTTCATAGTTTTCAAATTTTGATTGATTGGTTTGAAAAATATCACTCAAAGAACTTTCCTGCAATTTATATACTTCTTGGAAATCCTTCCTTTCTTCCTTCCTTTCTTCCTTCCTTTCTTGCAATTGACATACTTCTTAGAGTTGTCCTTCCTTCCTTCCTTCCCTTCCTTCCTGAACTTTCTTGCAATTGACATACTTTAGAAAGCTCCTTCGTTCTTGAACCTCCTTGCAATTGACATACTTCTTAGAGATGTCCTTCCTTCCTTTCTTCCTAAACTTTCTTGCAATTGACATACTTCTTAGAGTTGTCCTTCTTTCCTTCCTTCCTGAATTTTCTTGCAATTGACATACTTCTTAGAGATGTCTTTCCTTCCTTCCTTCCTTCCTTCCTTCCTTCCTTCCTTCCTTCCTGAACTTTCTTGCAATTGACATACTTTAGAAAGCTCCTTCGTTCTTGAACCTCCTTGCAATTGACATACTTCTTAGAGATGTCCTTCCTTCCTTCCTTCCTTCCTTCCTTCCTTCCTTCCTTCCTTCC